CTAGCTCAAGACCTGTGATCTCTGCAAATTAGGAGAATGCCATTTGGTGGACCACTAGAAATGGGTGAAGCTTTGGGAGACAAGTGTTATGAGGAAGAATAGAAAATGAGTAGGAATACATAAAACAGTTTGCTAAGTAATGATAACGTTGGTCTTGGCAGTGATTTCATGGATATGTTAGGTGTCCTTATCTTAATTTTTTTTTTCTAAGTAGAGTTGAAAACCCAGCTGAAGAAGGTTGCCATTATTTGTAATGTTATTGCTCTGGGTAGCCAAAAGTTATTTATACAGTATTAGGGGATTTGAGGAAAATGGTACAAGAAGGAAAAGTGGATGGAAGAGGAGTGAATCATCACATGGGGGAGAGCAAGAGAGCGAGAGAGGAACATTGAAGTGGCTACCAAGATAGGGACATGGGCCTGTTCATGGAAGGAAGTGAAACCAGGAAGGGCCCAGAGGGGTGCACAAAAGGTCTGGTGATTCCAGTCACATCCAAAGCAAACATAACAGGGTGGAAGTAATGACAACTCAGAACATGGGAGTTCTTAGATGAAAAGCAGAATGAAGATTGCTGAAAGGAAGAGGAGGTGAAACAGTGGGTTCATGAGGAATGCATGAGGTGGGTCTAGGTCAGAGTCAAGGTCAGGGTCATGAGAGGTGACTGAATCATGATGGGCAGAGTTCAGATTGAAATAAGTCCAAGCCAGTGCCAAAGCCATGGGATTTAGTGTTTGATGCTGATGAGAAGAGTGTGGCAGAGCTGGATGGTGAGAACTCTGGAAAAGCTTAGATTGTTTTTTTCTCCAGAGAGAGACTGTCTACTGAACACTCGATAGTCTGAGGCTGGTATGGTATTCTTAAAGGAAGATAATAAGTGTGCAGTTAATGACTATTGAATGATTCTGTGAAATACTGGGTTCAATCCACATGAGTCCATTAAACTGTTTTTTCACTCTTCCATATCAAAGCAAAGACTGCTTAAGAATTAAACCAAATATAAATCTTAATTGTTATAACACGGGGAATTTTTAGATGTCCAAACCTTCCTTCCAAAGCACAAAAGCTACTTGCATTTTGGTATTTTTCCTTCATTTATGAATTCAGCAAATATTCATTGAACAACAAGTCTTGCCAGGCACTGTTCCATACATTGGGAAAAATAGTCGAGGAAAAGGCAAACCAGGCCCCAGCTCAGGGAGCTTAATTTTAGAGGGAGAAAAACAGACAGTATATAAAAATATAAATGTTAATTTCAGTTAGGAAGAAGGCTGTGTTGAAATTAAAACAAGTAGTGAAATAGAGAGTAAGCTGGAAGACAGCTCTCTTTTATATAAGATAGAGGAGACCTCTGACAAGGTGACATTTGTCTGGGACCTGATGGATACGGAGTCAGCCATGTGAAGATTGGGAAGTATTCCAGGTAAACAGGTGGTGTAAAGGCCCAATGGAAAGATCGAGTTTAAAAGAGAAGGACAGAAGCAAGATTAATATGTCTGCACTAGGGTCTAATAAGAAAGTCATATCTTTTCCCACATGTTAATATTTTAACATGAATGTGATCACAGTGTTTATTCAATTTTCAAGGACTGTGTGGTGGTTAGGAGCAGACTCTGGAGTGACACTGCTCTCATTTAACCTGAGCTCCTCCTTTTTTACCTGTGTTCCCTTGAGAAAGTCTATCTAAATATTCCAGCATATGATTACCTGTAACATGGTGTTAATAATGGTACCTACCTCATACAGTTGTTGTAAGAATTAAGTGGATTGATAGTTGTAAAACAGAAAAGTGCCCGCCACGTTAAAAGCGCTTCTTCTATAAAATAATTCCATCTTTTTTCCCCTGACTGCATGATATGGAAAGATATACTCTTTTGTTACATATTCTTAATGATTATTTCTGTGGATTCTGAGAAACCCATAATCAGTTTAACTATAGAAGAAGCAGATTGGTTTAATTTTCTACATCATAAATCATTCTCGACAATGAATATTGTTATCATGCTTTGAGATTTTTCACAATAGTGATCACCTGGGTGGCCGAGTATGGGTGAACCCATAAAAATATTTCACTGACTGAAGCATCTGTAAGAGGCATCCTCATCTTGATTGGCTTTTCATGAGATTATTACCAGATAACTGAGAAAAGATATGCTATTAATGGCTGTCCTGCCAAATGAATTTATCCTGAAGGGAAGTTATGCTCGCCTTGTACAATTTTCTCCTCCCAAGAAAATTTTATTGAGTTGCCAAAAACAAACAAACAAAAAACAACTCACAATTTACTGTAAAGCCCCCATATTTCTGGCTTTTCTGAAAAAAAAAATAGCTATTTCTATTAAACTGATAGAATTAGACATACTGGCTATGAGGCAACAATTGTGAACAGATTTCTTTTTTTTTTAAGATTTTATTTATTTTATGCATGAAAGACACAGAGAGCCAGGCAGAGACATAGGCAGAGGGAGAAGCAGACTCCCTTTAGGGAGCTCGATGTGAGACTCAATCCCAGGACCCTGGGGATCACGACTTGAGCTGAAGGCAGACACTCAACCACTGAGCCATCCAGACATCCTGTGAACAGATTTCTTATAGTATTTTTGCCATCCTTCCATAATTCCATGGTTTATTTGTTTTTTAAAGATTTATTTATTTATTTATTTGAGGGAGGGAGTAGCAGAGGGAGAGACAATTCCCAATACACTCCCCACTGAGTGGAGAGCACAATGTGGGGCTTGATCCCATGACCCTGAGATCATGACCTGAGCTGAAATCAAGAGGCAGTTGCCTAACCGACTGAGCCACCCAGATGCCCCCAAAATTTCATATTTTATTTTTGTAAATTTATTTTAAAAGATTTTATTTATTTATTCATGAAAGACACACAGAGAGAGGCAGAGACATAGGCAGAGAGAGAAGCAAGCTCCATACAGGGAGCCTGATGTGGGACTCGATCCCGAGACTCCAGGATCACACCCTGAGCCAAAGGCAGATGCTCAACCACTGAGCCACGCAGGCATCCCTTTAATTTCATATTTTAAAGTAAGGTTCATACTCTTAATTAAAATATTGTCTAAAAAATTATAAGCCTCCTCTACTAAAATTTTAAACTATTCAATGGAAAATTATTTGAGAAAAATACTGAATTTATAGAGAAAACTAGAGTAGTTCAGAACATCTGAAAATAGTTGGAGTCTTTGAAATATGGCATTCCTTTCTTTGAAAATAATAAATTGCCCAAACAAGTAAGCTTTTATTTAATATATTGAGTTCTGAAAATTTAAAGTTATATAAATATGATACACTTGAATCAAATTAAATATGAAAAAGCTCAGTTGGTTAAGCATCTGCCTTTGGCTCAAGTCATGATCCCAGGGTCCTGAGATTGGGCCCCACATTGGGCTCTCTGCTCAGCAGGTGGCCTGCTTCTCCCTCTCCTTCTGCAGCTCCCCCTGCTTGTGTTCTCTCTCTCTCAAACAAAGAAAATTCTTTAAGAAAATTAAAATAAAATATGGAGAAGCAAATATAGCTGATATCCCTGTTAAAATTGATTATTATGAATTACTGAAGCTTTTAGGTAACATCCACATTGTATCATGCAAAAGGAAGCACATGCCATAATCCATTTGTTTTAAATTAAATTTAGTAAATAAAAATGTACGTATACTCACATGTATAATCTTAAAAGTCTGATGAACTTCTAAAAGGCACACAGTTGGCACCTAATAAATATTTATTTATTTTTTTTTCTAATAAATATTTATTAAATTTGGGTGTTTATGAAGATATAAATGACAATATTATGTAAGTTTAAGGTGTAATGAGTGATGACTTGATATATGTATATATTGTAAAATGATTACCATGGTAAAACTAGTTTATACAGGCAGCCTAGGTGGCTAAGGGGTTTAGTGCTGCCTTCAACCTAGGGCGTGATCCTGGAGACCCGGGATTGAGTCCCACATCAGGCTCCAGTCCCACATCGGGCTTCCTGCATGGAGCCTGCTTCTCCCTCTGCCTGTGTCTCTGCCTCTCTCTCTCTCTCTCTCTCTCTCTGTGTATGTGTGTGTGTCTCTCACGAATAAATAAATAAAATCTTTAAAAAATAGTTTATACATCTACTATTTCACAGTTAGCTCCTGTGTGTGTGTGTGTGCATGTGTGCGAATGTTTAAAATCTATTCTCCTAGCAACTTTCGGTTATACAGTACAGTGTTAACTATGGTTACCATACTATGCAATTGGTCCTGAGAACATACTCATAACTAAAAGTTTGTACTTAAAAAAAAAAGATTTTATTTATTTATTTTGAGAGAAAGAGGCAGCATGAGTAGAGGGAGGGGCAGAGGCAGATGGGTAAAAAGAATCTCCAGCAGACTCCACACCGAGTGCAGAGTCTGACGTGGGGCTTGATCCTACAGCGATGTGATCACAACCTGAGCTGAACACAAAAATCAGACACTTAACCGGCTGAGCCACCCAGGCGCCCCCTGAAAGTTTATACCTCTATCCAGCACCTTCCCATTTCCCTAGCCCCAGGTGTCTACTCTCTGTTTCTAGGAGTTTGGCTTTTTTAGATTCTACATGTAGGTGAGATGGTGCAATGTTTGTGTTCTTCCGTCTAACTTACTTCACTTAGTCTGACATCCTTAAGGTTCATCCATATTGTCACATATAGCAGGATTTCCTTCTTTTTTATGGCTGAATAATTTTTTTCCATGTGGATCGATATTTCTGTTATCTATATTTGTATCTACATATCATTTTCTTTACCCATTTTTCTGTCAACAGGCAGTTAGGTTGTTGCCATGTCTTGGCTATTGTAAATAATGACACAATGATCATGAGGGTGCAGATGTATCTTTGAAATGGAAAAGAAAACAAAGAAAAAGAAAGGCTTTATACTATAAATATGTATAGCTGCTAACTCAATAAACTTTTATTTTTCCTGACATGCATCACCAATGATATATGCTTCTTACACTTATTTCAATTGTTTACAGAAAACTGGGCATAAACCAGAGAGTGTGGATTTGTGTGGGGCACATATTGAATGGGCCAAGGAAAAATCAAGCAGAAAGAATGTCTTTCAGGTAAGAATGTTATATATATTAAATTTATTCCTATTCTAAATCTGAGCTCTTAACATATACTTCCTTGTCATGATCTTTTCATGTGCATGAACTGGTTGTTCGAAGGTCACTCTGAAAAACTGATTCACCTCCTTCTTGAATTTTAGTTTGTTTTGTGGCTTTTCCCTGGTTACTGGTTGCTATCTAAATAGAAAATATATGTTGTGTGTTGATTGATTCTACACTGAAAGTTATTGAATATTGCCTTGTATTTGATAACTGTTTGGGGTTCAAACCTAGAGCATTTAGCTTAAATAGATTTATTGTAGAACTTTCAGACATACACAAAATAACGTTCGCTAATTATGATAAACTTTTTGCATTCATTTCCATTCCTGCGCCTAGTCATAAATTACATTTACCAGTGTAACTTAGGGGAATGGAAAGAACTGAACAGCTATAGAAATTGGATATTTTTGTATTGCATAATTTAATTTTTGGGAAAAAATAACTATGATTAATAATTTCAATCATATTCCATTGAATGAAAAGAACCAGATGAGATACTTGAAAGAAAGGAAATGAGAAAACTTAATATTTCATATATGATGTTACTAAAATCTCTTTGGAAATTAATAACTTTAAATTATGAGATTTATCTTTTTCTATACTTATCTGAGATTTAACTTACTTTTATATTTCCAAAGTAACCAATAACTTTCTGGGTATATTTTAGGATTTATATCATTTAGTAACCAAGGATCTAGATTATTGTAACTACTGTATTAAATGCCTTCTAAGACCATTTTGGCTCAACTGACTTTAGAAAGGTCAATTACATAAATGTACCAGTGAAAGTAATATATTGGATCTTACAGAAGTGTAGATAGGTGGCATTTCCTATCTGAACTCACACTGGGGAGAAAAAAAAACTGGTTTCCAGTTCTGCATTTCCCAGATGGTAATCCAGATCTACCATGTAAACTGGACCCACGTTAATGTCTCTAGAATAAGTTATTTTTCTGGTTCTACTTTTATTCTATTCAGACATTCATTTTTTATATGCTAGAGATTTATTTCTTTTTGTCATAAGAGATTAAGAAAGAAGAAAAAAAAAACTAAATACACTTGCCTAGAAATCAAAGGACTAAATTTAACCAAAAGTGATTAGAATCTGAATCTACAGAGTCAAGAAAAGAAAAATAAATTTTGTTTTGAAGTGAGGAATTGTAAATCAGTGATATAGCCCATCCTAGTTTCTTACTCTTTTTGCTATTCTGCGAGAAATAAAAAAAAAATAGAGGTTATATTCCTAGTTTTAGGATAACCTAGATGATTGTTATGACTAGGTCTGAACTAGGTCGGGTGAGGTAAGTGGTGTAGTTTTATCATGTATTATGAGTTTGGCATCCTTGTCCCCATGTCATAAAATAAAGACCTTACTATTTGAAATGGACATAATTCTTGGACAACAGAAACTCTGGGAAATGGTCTAATGTAGCATTTTTGAGTTCCTTCTGTTGGTCTTTTGGAAAGCTCAGATAGATCAAAAATGAGAAGGATCGCCAAATATGTACAATGTATACAGGACCACGGATATAGGAGAAGAATATTTATGCATAATTTTACCTTGCTTTGAACATTATATACATGGATGTATATTTAAGCCACCTGTATTGATGAAATGTAGGATAACATATAGTAATGATATGAGGTCGCTCTTTCCTGAGTATGACTGATTGCTTCTTGCTATAATTTTTTCCTTGTTTTTCATATTTCTGAATGTAGGTACTTCCAAAAATAGTAAAAAAAAAAAAAAAAAAAAAAAAAAACCAAAAAAAACCCTCACACAACTATTCTCACTTTTGATAGCTTTTTGGAGTAGCTTTGTCAGCTACTTTTGTTTGTAAGGTCCCTGAGTAGTTTGTAGGACCTCAGTGTTCTTACATCCAGCTTCACTCTTTTGGACTTGTACCCTTGTAGTTTAGAGAAACAGGAAGGAAGTGATTACAAGGATGGTGTGAATAACAAAGCTAAAAAGGATTCCAATTTCGTTTCCTGCTTCATTCTTTTTGAGGTGAATCATGTGGGTCTTTTTTTTTTTTTTTGTCATGCCGACATCTTTTCATTATTGAAACACGTGAGCTTAGGTAAAATTTACTAATATGTATCCATAGATACAGACTATGAGGGTAAACCCTTTGAGAGGAATAATATAAATAGCTTTTATAGTTCTGTTAACGAAAAAGCATAGGGAAGGATTTGCCAGAGAGCTAAATCTAGATGACTTGCATCAATATTTGATTAGATACATTAGCTGGTCTAACTCTCAAATGATCAGAATAAACATGATTATATCTCAAAAACATGGTATTAAGGCATTGTTGGGTGTTTGACTGTGTGTGTACAAGAGTTTCATTACCTAAAGAATAATGAAGTGTTTCTTCCTGACTGAAAAAGACCATCATAGCTTCAGCTGATTTGCTACATCAGAAATAGCTTTAAAATTCCAAGTTTGAATTAGGCTTGGTGTTCAATCTCAGTCTATGAATTATAGATTACAGATAGCAAATGACTATTGAGATTTTTGGTTCAAGAAAAATCAAAGAAGAGCAAAATTAGAAATAATTTAAAATTTGAAATCTGTCTTTAAAAAGTTGATGGATTGGCAATTATATGCCACATAATTATAACGTCTGTAGAGAAGTCGAATTTAACATGAAGAAGAAAACAAATAAAAAATTATGTGCCTGAAAGACTCAGAAGCACAAATCTGTGACACACAAAAGAATGGAAGGATTTCATTTGTCTGGTACATTTGTGTATGCCATTTGGACATTTAAGTTGTTAATTTTCTTTTTGTATTAAAAGCCAAATTTCCTTCATAGTCAAAGTCTTACTAAACTCTTGATGTAGATTCAATCTTATTTGATGGGTACATGGTAACATAACAGTGTTATGCTACACATGATCAAGTGTTAGGTTTGGTATTCAACAACTCTCAGTAGATCAGAATGATGCTCACCGACGGAGTTCAGGAACACCTGCCTCACCTGGGTGGCTCGGTGGTTGAGCATCTGTCTTTGGCTTAGGTCGTGATCCCAGGACCCTGGGATCGAGTCCTACATCGGGCCCCCTGCATGGAGCCTGCTTCTCCCTCTGCCTGTGTCTCTGCCTCTCTCTCTCTCTGTCTCTCATGTATAAAGAAATAAATAAAATCTATGAAAACCAAAAAAATGAAACAAAAACAACACCTGCCTATTTTATAAAAGAATACTCTTTGGCCTAATTGGTATTTCTTAATAATATATGATACATTTAAAGAAATCGTTAGCAGCTTCTATAATAAAGTACATACAGACAAGTCATAATATGTGTTCCCGACGCATAAATGCGAAGTAATGTGTGGATGTCCACGTACATACCTACTTCTGATAGCTCGCCTTAGGAAATCGAATGACCATTTCCACACACGTACACACTGACACGGAAAGACGTTTTGTACTTATAAAAGGTCCTACAAATTCTAAGTTATATCAGTAAATGTTCATTGCTGCTAACTTTCGTTTAATTCTGCATTTAGCAGAATTGTCAAGGCCCATCACGAGTTTGATGTAGCTTGAGAAAGCATTTAGCAACCGAGTGATTTGTAATGAACTGTGGTACAAGTTTTCTTAGTTAACTTAAGAGCAGCTCTAGGTCTTCATCAGGGAAAGAGTGAATAAAAAGATTTATGTTCAAATCACATGTTTTAAACATTCCTGCTAAGTGCTAGTTTGCTCTTTGGTGTTACGCCTGAAATTTAAAGCACCGAGGATTAAAAGGATTACAACATAATCTTAAATAATCCTAAATGTCATTTACAGAGAGATAGTTGTAATAACTAAATAAAACCGTGTTAAAGGGTGGCAGTATTGTCAGGCGGCATCTGTGACATGTGCGATGCTCGGTCACCTTCTTCTCTTTCCTCTCCGATCCAGCATCACATTTACAAAGCGTTTCAGTCGCAAGTTCAACTGAGAGAATGGCTGCAAGGGAGTTTAAAACAATAAGTAATTTTTTAAACCACGAATATCTTCCTGTTCCAAAGTTGAAGGAAAATTTTCACTCGTGGATCCTTCCCTCCTTTGAACATAAGGCTCTCCTGGAGTTAAACATTTTTGAAAATCAGGAGAAGGAGGTTCATGGCACAGCTGTCACATCCGTAGATGCTACATCTCTAAAACATTGACCTCTTCCAAGGAGTTCCCCCTATTTATTTATTTATTTATTTATTTACTTACTTACTTACTTACTTACTTATTTTAGTTCTCCCTTTTTAAATAGAGGATGGTCCCAAGCCCTGTAACTTATTCCAGGCCCTTTAGTTTAGCACATACATATTTTTTTTTTACTCTTGTCGTGTAAATTAGTTTTGTCTTCTCACAGAGAACACAAAGAAAGAGGCTCTATGGCATACTGCTTTATATTTATTAAACCAGAGGATTGGACTCCTTTCAACTCATTTCAATGGCTATTGGTAAGGCTAGATTGGGATTTGTTTAGCTAAAATAAAAGAATTCACTATCAAAAAAGCTCAGGAGATTGTGTCCACGATACAGTCTCTATACTCCAAAGATGATTTCTAGAGTGTCTACTCTATTCCCTTCTGTAAATAGGGGTAAGAAACATGCTATCTGTTTCCTTGATCCTTTTCATTACAACCTATATGACAATAGATGATTATTTATTTAAGATAATGAAATCATTTATACCCTAACGGTTTACTGTTTCTCACAGCCGGAGAGTGACTGGCCTCATTTTTCCTGGGTTTCCTTTAAAAGAAAACAAAATTTTACCCATGAACATGCAGCAGAATCATTTATAGGTTATGTGCCTCAAATAAGATAATTCTGCTATTAATGAATTATGGCTGATTAGAACTACATCCATTGTCTGCTTGAAAGGCAGGAAAAAAAATGAATGACTTAACAAGATGAAAGTCTGTTTTCTTTCCCTGGTACCAGTTTACAACCTCAACA